GACATTTGTTTGTAGAGATTCATCATGCACATCCTTAAAGTAGCAGCTTCTGGTCTCTCCATTCCCACTTGAAGCTCTTTTAGTTGGTTATTTTGGTATTTATCTCCTTAGGTCTATAGATCATGCTTGTATTATTTTGATTTTCCAGTTTTGGGCTTTATCTTGTTGTAAACAGTAACCTCTGAGATCAGTATCTCCAAGTCTTTTTCATTAGGCTGGTTAGGTTTTCACAGAAAAGTTGTTTCCTGCCAAAGGTGAAGGCCACATTCCTTGTGTCCTGAGACCTGGTTTCAGGAACGAGGCTGTGAAGTCTCAGCCTCCAGGATTCAGTCATTCACCTCGTCTTCCTGTGTTCATTATGGCTGCTCGCCCTCCTTTGTGTCAGAGCGCGCCGTCCACCTTCTCCAGAGACTGAACCTCCCTTCTGGAGGACCAGGGAGCCATGCATCTGGTCTTCTGACTAATCCTCCTTATTAGGCTACCCCTTCAACTCCATTTCCAGAAGTGTGCTGCCAATTCCTGAGCTTCGGGGGATCCTACAAATCAAAACTGAGACGGTTCTCAGTGATCCCACCTGCTCCCCGGTGGTCTAGTGCTTAGGATTCGGCGCTCTCTCCCTGCTCCCACCTGCTCCCCGGTGGTCTAGTGGTTAGGATTCGGCGCTCTCTCAGTGCTCCCACCTGCTCCACCATGGTCTAGTGGTTAGGATTCGGCGCTCTCTCCGTGCTCCCACCTGCTCCCCAGTGGTCTAGTGGTTAGGATTCGGCGCTCGCTCCGTGCTCCCACCTGCTGGCTTAGAACTCAGTTTTCTGGGGTCTGTTATTCATTTATAGCACACTGTTACCTGCATTAGAACTTCCAATATTTTTTTACTGTTGTTTCCTATTTTCCCTGTCCTTGTGGTTTATGCCTTTTTAAAAAGTATTCTCTTTGTTGTCATTTTATGGGATGTCAGCAAGAGGATAAGAGGAAATGATTGTTTTTTTTTAGTCTGCCATCTTTACCCAGAAGTCTGCTGTGCTTTTTTTTTTTTTTAAGTTGAAAAACCACTGTTCTATTTATTGGCGTCATTAGTTGTGTTTCCCTTACCATTTTATAGCTCTTTTCATTGACTTGCAAATTAAGAGTGGTGGGTTAGTGCCAGCACCAAGTTTTACCATGAAGCTTAAGCTTAGGGCCCCTTCTCGCGCCTTCCCAGCAGGGTGTTCACATGGTTCTGTCTTGCCAAGGCAAGATTTCTTTTTGCCTAAAGACCCTTCCCTCCCCTTAAGTTATGTAAGCTTCAGGCTCCACGAAGCTTGGGTCCCTCCCAGATGAGAAAACACGCACACGCACATGCCTAGTCCCTCCTCCATTGATTTCAGTGATCTGAGTGTTATCCAAGCAGCGCTCCTCAAGCCTAAGGCGGGCCTGACACTCTGTCCCTCACAAGTTCCCAGGGGACGCCAGTCTCGCTGGTCCCTTAACTATACGTTGAGTAACAAGGATCACCTTTCCTTTAACAGAGAACTTTGTTCTCAGATGTGGATCCTTCTTGATACGCGCATACTGAACAGCCCTCCATTTTTATCGTAGGGGCAGACATCTGTCTAAGGGGTCTGCATTTGCAGCAAGAGTGCAGCCCTTCTTCCCCAGGTGGCAGTAAATCAAACTAGTGGGGAGATGAGGGCAAGAGGTATGTCAGTGGTGATCAAGAATCCCCAAACTTCATTTTTTCCATTCGTTTCCTATTACCAACTCTCCAAACTAGAAAGGGGAAAACATGATTTTCCTGTCACTGCGTATTTTCAGTAGCTGCCAGCATGGAGTAAAATTGGCTGATCTTAGCTATAATCGCTCTCCCTACTTCCTGACCTCCTTACTTGATGCCCTTCTAGTCTCCTAGGGCGGCCGGAACAAAGTACCACAAACTGGGTGACTCACACAAGAGAAATTAGAGTCGCACAGTTCTGGAGGCTAAAAGTCTGAAATCCAGGTGTCAACAGGATTGGTTCCTTCTGAGGGAAGGCTCTACTCCAGGCATCTCTAAAGACCCTATTTCCCAGTAAGGTCACATTCTGAGTATTAGGAGTTAGGACATTCAACATAAATGGGTGCGGGGTGGGGGTGGGGGGCGGGTAGGAGGCGGGAGAGGGGGGCGGGCAGGGGAAGGACAGCGATGGCAATTCAACCCATAACACACGGTTCTAAACAAACAAATTAAATGACACTGTTTTTTGCATGGGATTGCTTAGTGTGGAAGCAGTTAGTTTCCGTCTATTTTCTGGGATCCTACGTGGTTCCTCCCTGATTGCATTTGCTTTTAAAATTGGAATCTAATGAAGAGTATCTTTAATATGACCTACTGATACTTTATCTTGATTAAGTAAACACTCGGTATTTTACAGAAATATATCCCCTTTTTTTTGTTTTTAGGTTGGCGTTGTAAACGGTATGGTCACCGAACGGGCGACAAAGAATGCCCTTTCTTTATCAAAGGCAACCAAAAGTTAGAACAGTTCAGAGTAGTAAGTAAAACCCCAGAGTGTCATTTACGTTTACCAAAGACGGTGAATGTCCGTGAATCAGGCAGTCACCAGTGAACTGGAAGGTCACGTAAAATACTCGTATATTCCCAGCAACCTTTTGGGCAAACCTATCTGGTGTTAACTATATCTCTATTAAACTGAATTTGTGTGACAGATTAATTCATTAACAAAAAAGTAACTTTTTATTAAAGTGTTATTTGCTTATGCCTTGGGAACACTGATTCTTTCTCTGAAGCAGACATTGTTATCCCCTTTTTAATTATTATGTCAAAAAATGTTTTATAACTAAAATCAGGGTTCTAGTTTCCCAGTCTTTACCTACAGATTAATGTCTTTTTATTATAAACTAGAAATGTGTATAAATGATATTTCATCCTGAGATGACAGTAAAATACATCTATCATTTCCTCAGTTTAACAGTCACCTACCAAGGGTGTTACTTCACCATTCAGTAACTGTTAATTCATCATTCAGTAACTGTCTGGCAATTTAACTGTGCTGTCATCAGGTATATTGGGACACTGGGGTCCACATTCTCAGGGATTTTAAGGCACTGAAAATACAGTGCTTTCCTTTTAATAATTTGAAGAAAATATTCCAGATAAATCATTGCTAGCAGAAATATCAATTTTTATAGCTCCTATAACAGACAATTTGGTGATATATCTCAAAACTTAAACATATTCATATTTCTTAAATTCAGACTTTAATTCTAAGAATCGATCCAAAGTATCACAGAACATCAGTACACACAAATTTTTATGAATAAGGATAACTTTCAGAATTATTTATATGGTTAAAAAATAGAAACTAAAGAAAAATTGCACACAGGGTCAATAGCCAGCCTGCCAACATAAATTACTATAACACAGAAATATATAGCTTTTAAGAATTATGTGTTAGAAACATGAGTAATATGATGGGAAGATGTTCATGAAAACGTAAGTGAAAAAGAGAGTTGTACATATAATGTGGTTATAATTTTTTGTAAATTATGAATAATGATTAGAAGAATCACACTACAATGTTAACAGGATATCCCCACGTAATACAATAGATATTTTTAACTGTTTTTTCTTCTTTAATATGTAAAAGTTTTACAAAAACATCTTGAAAATAATTCACATAGAAAATTCACGTTAAAAATACAAATACAGAGTGAATACCATAAAGTTCACTCTATGTGTATTTGTATTTTTACGTATTTTAAGTGATTTTAAATTATACATTTGCCTTTTTATAACAAAATGAAACCATTACAGTAAGATTTTTCACAATTGATTTTTCAAGTCCAATCTTGCCTTTCTCCCAAAGGGGATTTACAGTAAGTACCTTGCTGAGTCTACTTCCAGACTTCCTTTGGGGCACATACATGTTTCTATGCACCTATAAATGAGTCATTCTTCGATATCATTTTCTAACTCACTCGTTTTGCTTAATAATCTCTTGATCATCTGTCCACATAGAACAAAGAGAATTACCTCAATTATTTCTAACCTTGAGCAGTATTTAATAATGATTCTGCCATGGTTTATTTCCTTATAAAGGATATTTATATTATAATGCTGTATTTGTATAATTGGAAAATCTTTTTTATAACCTCCATGAGTTTAAAGTAATCGTGACCCTCAGAAAGGATTAGAATATGTTGAATATAAAATTAAACCAAATAGGGGAAGAAAACTTCTTTAAGTGAAATAGGGATTTAATTTTAATTTAACAATCTATGCGGTCTAACCCAACTTTAACCTTCTCTAACCCTCAAGGCACATGAAGATCCCATGTATGACATCATACGAGAGAATAAAAGACATGAAAAGGATATAAGGTGAGGTTGTCCTGATGATAACAGACCCTCTTAAAGTTTTAAATTATGGTAAGTTGGAAACAACCACTCCAGTACTAGAGGAGTGGTTTAACAAACGTGGTACTTGACTTGTGAAATCTCGGAGTGCAGGAGTAACCACTGACAAGGCCAGTGTGTGGGACTGAGGTCAGCCTGTCCCACTTGGGTCAGCTTCACGCAGTGGGCGTGGCCCCGCCCCCTCACCCCTCTGATGGTTGCTGCTGACAACTCACATTGTGGTACCTGGCTCTGCGATGACTGACTCTCTTTCATATGATTTAGTTTATCGTCTCCAGTGTCTTTAGGGATCTGAGATATTGTTAAAAATTACTCTTAGACATGAATAAAGACAGCAAAAAAAAGGACTTGTTCTTGTTTGTTTGTTTGTTTGTTTTATTTCCCAAATTGGTATTGAGTTATAGTTGTTGAGGAGGTAGATTACCTAATATGATCTTGAGCCATGGGAGAATGATATAGGAAAGTGTGTATCTGTTAGAAGCTATAACAGTAAGGACTGTAGAAACATGCAGAAATATTTAGGACAATGAAAAAATGCAAAATGGCCTATACACTGGTTACAGGCCTGTAAAATAGGCGTGAATGTGGACAGGAACAGGGAAAACATGCAAAAATAAAGTTAAGTACTGTGTTTAGTGAGGTGATTATTTCTGACTTTTTTTACCCTCACTATGAGTCTTATATTTGTATCTAAAGCAGATTTTTCTAAGTTGTTGTGGTTTATGGTTCTTTGACCAATCTTTAATGTTTAGGATACAACAGTTAAAACAATTACTGGAGGATTCCACCTCAGATGACGATGGGAGCAGCTCCAGTTCCTCAGAATGTAAGGAGAAACACAAGAAAAAGAAGAAGAAAGAAAAGCAGAAGAAAAGGAAGAAAGAAAAGAAAAAGAAGAAAAAGCGAAAGCATAAGTCTTCCAAGTCAAACGCGAGTTCAGACTCGGACTGACAGGAACTTGGCTTTGCAGCGTTCTCGTCTCAGAGCTCAAACACGGGCCAAAGCACGGAGGGACATGGGGTCAGGGAGGACGCAGAGAGCGACACCAAGGAGGAGGCCACCCGGTGGCACACGTGACTCTCACCTACCTCCCAGTGAGCACGTGACCCCAGAGTGAGTTGTATGGTCCCAGGTGCTAGCGGCTGATTTCAGGCAGGAAAGCTCTTTTCAGCGTCCTCCTCCCTGCTGATCACTGTGGTTTCTGATTCCTTAGCCATGTCAGGGTGGCCGGACTAGGGGAGTGTGAGGACGCCCCTCCAGGTGCTGTCACCCTCCAGAGGGAGGCTACTTCACCCCCGTAGACTTCAGGCTTGACTTTTCTCTGCTGTGGAGGATAATAAAAAGTCATTATTTATTTTTTAAATGGATTTCTTTTTTCGTTTCTGAATAACACACGTGTGTTCCCAATTTACAAGGTGCGTGAGCTCTACTTGTGAAAGCTGTTCCTCCTCTCCCCGCAGCATCTCAGTTCCCTTCCCCAGTGGCTGCCAGTCTCACCCGTTTCTTGTGCAGTCTCCCAGATACAAGTATATTTTCTATATCACAAGCAAATACAGGGCTTCTTTTACACAAATGCTATACACATCCACATGTACATTGTGTTTTTAACTCAACAGTAGGAAACGAATTATTTTAGTGTCAAGTACATTGGCATTGCTGCACCAAAAGGTATGTTTATACTCACCTGAGATGATTTGTTGATTGGGGAGTAGTTCCTATGACAATAATGAAAAACTTGGTGTGGCTACATTGTATTTAACGTGACTGGATTTTTCTGCCCAAATCCCAAGATTTTCCCAGAATAATTGACTCAGAAAATTTTTCGGAATAGAGGGGATTACTGAGACAGCTACCCACACCCTACAATACCCCCCTCACTGCCTCCTTTTCCTGTTGGTTACACACAGCCCACCTTTGCCCACCTTTGCGCTTCTAGCTCTGCTGTGCCAGCAGCAGCTTAGCCTGTTAGGGCGGGGCAGGGGCTAAGGTAGATTAAGTCTTGTTCTTGACTGAGCCACAAACCAGACCTTGCTCACAGGTTAAGTGTCCCTCCCTATCCAGCAGGGTCTGTTGCTGTTATCAGGGTCCCAGGAACTCTACTCCCTTATCTGGCCTCTCCCCCTGGGAGTTGGATTCCCTCCTCTTTCAAGGGCAGCCAGTCCAGGTGGAGAATAGACTCACTTCCAGCGCTCATCAATAAATGCTCCTGATCACTGCTCCCGAGCTGAACTGCCGCTGAGCTGACCATGTGGGAATCGAACCAGCAACCCTGTTGCTCAGAGCTCGCAGTCTTGGGCATGCTCTTAACCAACTGAGCTACTCGGCTGGCCCACAGTTTACTTTTACATAACTGAGCAATACTTTGTTACTTCTGCTTCATTTCCCTTACTATACCTTGACGATCTTACTGCTTACAAGCTCTAAAAGGCCACAAAATTTTTTAGTTTGAAGGATTCATTTTGCTGATTCGTTTAACCATTCTTCCATCACAATTCAGTTGTCTCCATTTGTCCTGTGATATTGTGATGAAAAAATATGTATTTGGTCATTTAGATGACCAAAATGTATTTCTCATATATTATTTGGAGTTCCAGTTACTGGGTCCCAGTTCCCAAAACCCTTAGAATTTCATGAGCAGTAAGAACATCCTGTATTGTATTTGGTCTCTCATCCTTAGTACCTGAAATCACTTGAGCCAGAAGGTGAAATGGGTGTCTTGAAAGCACCCAAGGATAGGGGCTAGTTGCCAGGGGAACTGTGAATGCAAAGTTGGAACTCAGTCCACCCCAATCTGGGGGCAGGGGAGGAGGGCTGGAGGCTGAATTTTAATCAACTGTCTACGTAATGGAACATCCATAAAAATCCAGGGGGTGGGGACGGTTTGGAGAGCTTCCCGGTTGGTCAACATGGAGGTGCTGTTAGAGTTGTGCCTGGAGAGGGCATGGAAGCCCCACAGCCTTGCTTTCCCCATGCCTTCCCCACGCAGCTCTTCCATCAGGCTGTTCCCGAGTTATCCTTTTATAATAAATCGGTAATCTAGTAAGCAAAATGTTTTTGTTCCATGGGCTGCTTTAGCAAATTGAACCCATGGCACATTGGAACCTACAATTTACAGCCAGTCTATCAGCAGAGCTGATAACATGCGTTTGTGAGTGGCATCTGAAGGGTGGTGGCAGTCTTGTAGGGCTGAGCCCTTAACCTGTGGACTCTTGGCTTAGAGGCAACATTAGGTGATCACATCCATGTACCACCACTGTATAGATACATTACCCATGGCACTGCCATCACACCCACATCTGCAATGATGCCTGCTATGATGTCCTGCTCTTTCAAATAGCCAAAGAAACCTCTTTGGCACCTAGTCAGACTTCACCTATACCAATAAGATTGGTTCCACAAATTCGTCATGTATGCCCTAGGTTCTTAGTATGT